CATCACAGCTCACAGCAACCTCCAACTCCTGGGCTCAAGCGAGTCTCCTGCCTCAGCCTCCCAAGTAGCTGGGACCACAGGTGCCCATCACAATGCCCAGCTATTTTTTGGTTGCAGCCGTCATTGTTGTTTGGTGGGCCCAAGCTGGATTTGAACCCGCCACCTTAGGTGTATGTGGCTGGTGCCTTAGCCACTTGAGCCACAGATGCCGAGCCGCTACCCCTGGACTTGAACTGCAGAAGCTTTGCTATTTATGTTCACTTGAAAAAACTATGTTTTTTTGGTGGGGGGTCCTTTGGGTTCCACAGCTCAGCTTCCAATAGTTCACTGCAGACTAGGATTTACAAAAGGGCAAGCCTCATTTTAGGAATGAAAACAGGCAAAAAAGTCGAGAATCACTTGAGACATCTGTTCAATGAGTTTGAAATAATATTTGTCCAAAATAATTGACCTCCTCCTTCTCGCTTCTCATAAAAATTCAAATTATGCTTTGGGGATTAAGGAAGATTTTATTCTGAGGTCATGGGTCAGCCTCATGCTAGTGGCAATACACATGAGCTCACTAGATTTCATCTTTCCCCAGAGCTCTGCTACAGCAGGGTGTGATGCTTCAGCTGAACTGGACCCTCCCAGGGTGGAGGTAGACGAGCCGTCCACAGTCCCGCTGTGCCTGTGGGCCCCTGGGAGAGAAGTCCGCTCAGGTCAGCGCACCAAGAGGGGCACCTGATGTTTGCAGTGTCCATCTGCCTGGTGTGGCAAAGGTTGTAATGAGGATGGCATTTCCGCTAGCCCTGATCATGCAGTGGTGGGGTTGTTTTTGTCTTTCTCTGTGGGTAGTCGAGAGAGGAGTCACCAGTTTCTGAGGCAAGTAAGAGGAACTTGACAATTACAAAACTCCATGGAAGCGAGCAGGTCTAACAGCTAGATTCAGTAGGTAATTAATAATTCACAACCCCCACGTTGATCAATGGGATAAGCTCCTGTCTGAAACACATCAGCTCCAAGTGTGGCGGGCGGACAGTGAGCCGCAAAGGAAGGAGACTATTGCCAGAACTTAAAATCAATGGGTGGAAAAGTATCTGACTCAAGAATCATCATAATAGTCCTAATTCACCCTTTTGCAGGGTTTGGTTTGAATTTGAGCATAAGTGTGAAAACGAGTTTGAAAAGATGAGAATGTTACATACAGAGGCCAAAGAAAAAGAACATTCTATTTGGGTGGGCTTAGAGTTTTCTTTCAGCCTTTCCCACACAGGGTTCCAAGAAATTTGGTTCTATTTTACAACTTAGGGAACTGAAAAGGAACTATGTCTAGGGGGGAAGCAGGGGTGGGTGGGAATGGGTTGCAAGGATGGGGCTGGGGGGAGGCTGAGGCTTAGACACAGGGCAGGGAGAGCCTGTGGATGCTAAAACCCAATGGTGTCTCATCCCAACACTGTCACCCGTGGCTTATAACCTTCAGCCCCACCCCACCCTGCCCTGACCTCGTGAGGTCTCTCACAGGCCCAGACCCCACTCTGGGATCCTCGGCCTTGGTCAGCTCTCTTAAGCTGGGGATGAGCAGGGTCCTAAACTCTTCTAGGTAAAGTAGCTAATCTAACAGATAAATCATAATATTGAAGGAGTTTCCTAACCTCCTCCCCTCAGAACAGGATCCACTGAGTTTTACCATAAGGGACCTAAAAATATCACTTTTGTTTAAGAAAAAAAAAAAAAGAGAGGAGGTGTTATATACATGTAACTGCTGGGATGTGGAGGTTTTTAAATTCTAACACACACAGAAGAAACCAAATTTATCATGAGGTTGATCAAAACTAACAGATCCAGCCTCTCCCCTGAAGGCTGCTGTACACAGCTTCCTTTCAGATGCTGATGCTGAGAGGGTGGTGTGAGCTGTAGAGAGCCTGCCCTCCTCCTGAGGCACGCTGGCCCCACTGTCCTGCAAGGCTGCTGGCACTGTGCCCTCATGTTACTGAGTGGCTGTGCAGGGAAGAATCCATTCAAGGAAGATCATGCTCAACATCGTTTAAGGAAAGACAACTCTGGAATGTACAGACAGGGCCTAAAATGTGTGAGTGGTTTGCATGTCTTGAAAGCACTCTACTATGTGGGAATTATGAGCTGTTCTCTCATCTATTGGGCTAATTTAAAGATGAATAACAAATGCAGTAGAACCTCTGTAAGTTGACCACCCGAGAGACCTCATCAACATATGGGGGTGGTCAACCTAAGGAACTAAGCCTGCTATACTGATAGGTACATGTAGTGTATGTTGGGTCTATGACAATTAGGTCAACTCAAGGAGGTGGTCAGTGTTGGAAAGTGGTCAACTATGGAGGTTCATAGGCCAAGTAACCGTAGGTACTTTCCATTTTGCAAAGCACCTTCCCTCACGAGTTCATTTGATATGTTTATATTGACAAGTAGAAAATATGTTGATGTTGTTACTGGTATATAAATATCTTCTTCACCTTACCAGTCTGTCAGGCTAGTTATTCTGAGATATTTGCTTTGCCTGGACACTTGCCTAAAATAAACATCGTCATGAGGGCCAGCCATACTTGCTATGTGAGTCATTACTAAGAAGATAGTACTATAGGTTGTGCCTGTGGCTCAAAGGAGTAGGGCGCTGGCCCCATATGCCGGAGGTGGTGGGTTCAAACCCAGCCCCAGCCAAAAACAGCAAAAAAAAAAAAAGAAGAAGAATATAGTACTATAATGAGGGTAAAACTCTTCTGAACCCAGGCCCCTAGGATAGAGAGGGATAGGACAGTGTCAGGATTAAGTTTGTTGCGGACAGGAAGAAAAAATGCAAACAAAGCCAGTGCTTTAAACCAAAGATGTTGTTTTCTCAAACTCAGTTATGCCATGTCATTTTCTTTAACTAGCTGGTAGGCTTTCCGGGCCCGGTCTCTTTTTTCTGAGTCTCCGAGTAGACACTACTTTACTGTTAAGTTCCATGTATTAAAAGTTACAATGAACCTTCATCCTCACTGGGTCCCATACAGGGAAGTTTTGGAAGCCATTTCCTTATACCAGCCTCTTCCAACTAGCTCAAAATGCATTTCTGTCATAGACCAGCTTTGTGTGCTTTCTGAACATTCTTTGTCTCACCTGGAGGGTGCTAGACAAATAATACAGCACTTACATTTTTCAGTCTGAGATTTCACCAAGGATTCTCAGATTCCTGGGGGAGCAAAACTCCTCCTTGGGATACTTGAAAATGCCAGTGTTTGTCCATCTTTCTTCTCACTTTGTCACTCTCAATGGAGTGCTGTGGCATCATAGCTCACAGCGACCTCAAACCCTTGAGCTCAAGACATCCTCTTGCCTCAGCCTCCTGAGTAGCTGGAACTATAGGTGCCAATCTCTATACCTGGCTAATGTTTCTATTTTTAGTAGAGTCAGGGTCTCACCCTTGCTTAGACTGGTCTGGAACTCCTGAGTTCAAGCAATCCACTCATCTTGGTCTCCCAGAGTGCTAGGATTATAGGTGTGACCCACCACCAACTTAGTATATTTTCATGGTTGGTGTTGATTTTTCACTGGGCTGGGAGACAGAAGTCATCATTTCCTTTCCCATATGTCCACTGAGCATGTGACCCTGAAACAATCAGCATTCTCCAGAGGGCAGGGCCCAGCCCATTCTGTCTGGTCCATCTCTGGATCATTAGTGCCGAGCAAAGTGCCTGGCGTATGGTGGGCATTGGATAAATAGTTGTTAAATGAATAAAACTGGGCAGGTCACTAACGGTCATATGGCTCCCTTAGTTTTCTCTTTTACAAAATGGAAATAATCAAACTACCCTACCCACCTCCTAAGACTGGCAAAGCAAACAGATAGAAGTAGAATTTGAACATTATAAAGGCATTTTAATACTGATCTATACGGGAAATACGTTGGGTTATGTGGCAGGCCCATCAGTGTCAAATGCTTCAGCTTCCTCTGCTTATGCTTTTGTTTTTCTTTTTGGCATAAGTACAATGAACTGTTAAGTCCTCTCCGATCTATAAAATGAATGTGCTTTCCCAAAATAATAGAAACTAAGAATTGGTTACAGTTTTGGAAGAAGTCTCAGGCTGGGAAAAAATGGGTTTAGAATCTGCCAATAAAAGGACATGATTCTGATGGTAAACATATGGTTCATATGGTAAAACAATAAAGAACAGCTCCATCATCATGAGAAAATGTTTTTGGCTTTAAATGTTTAATGACCATGCAGAGACAAGGCACCATCTGGCATCTTCCGAATATTATTCTTTAACAAAGGAATTCCAAATTTTCCCAGCTCCCCAAAGAGGTACCCTGGAGATGGAACCAAAAAAAAAAAAAAAAAAATAGCATTCCTGGACACTGTGTTCCTCTAATTAAATAAGGTCCAAACCCACCCTGATCTTCTCTGCTGAATCAGTCATGTGGCGGGTGTCACTGTGGAGGCTGGGGTCACATCAAAAAACACAGTTTCCCATAGAGACTTGTAACATTGTCCCTGGGAACAATTAGGCTATGACTGGCATTTAATCAGGATAATGGGAAATTGTACTGCAGAGGACAGAAAACTAAAAGTTAAATGAAACACACAGAGAACAGTCTAATGCTTTTAAAATTTGTTTCTACCCCTGACTTCATTTACATATCATTCAGGAGATAAAGGCAGCTGTGTGCCAATGCTTGTCCAATTGCATCGCATTTTATTTTCATAATCTTGCAAGGTACATGTTATTTTTTTCTGGGGAGCAATCTGAGACTAAAAGAGCTTAAATAACTAGGCAAGATTTAAGTCCACGTCAGCTGACCCCAAAGCCCTGCCACAGGCCTTGCGCTATGCCTCCCAACTCACTCTTGCTTCTAGTCTGGAAGCAGAAGTCATTTGAAAGAATAGTTCTTTTTACATAAAAGCAGTAGAAGTGGCCCTGTTGTCGCAGTGGTTTTTGGCTGCCCTAGTCAATGCCCAGTTTGCTGGTCTGTGTAGTGGGTGCCTAACAGCTTAGTGACCAATCCCTCTAGGCCAGTGTTTTTCAACCTTTTCTTTTTTAATTTCACGGCACACTTGAACTTAAAGTTAAACTTCCACAGCCCACTTACATTATGTTGATCAAACAAAAAAAGAGTGAAATAAAGAATATACTTCCTGGCTCGGCGCCTGTGGCTCAAGTGGCTAAGGCGCCAGCCACATACACCTAAGGTGGCGGGTTCGAATCCCTAGCCCGGGCCCGCCAAACAACAATGATGGCTGCAACCAAAAAAAAATGGCCAGGCGCTGTGGCAGGCGCTTGTAGTCTCAGCTACTTGGGAGGCTGAGGCAGGAGACTCGCTTGAGCCCAGAAGTTGGAGGATGCTGTGAGCGTGATGCCATGGCACTCTACCCAGGGGGATAGCTTGAGGCTCCGTCTCAAAAAAAAAAAAAAAAAAGAATATACTTCCTGTGCTTGGAATTTCTTTCACAGATAATTTAATCAATGATCTTTTTAAAACGTTTGAGGCACACCTAAGATCCTCTCACAGCATGCTGGTTGAATATCATTACTCTAGACGATGAGAGGAACGGGCCTTTGGAACCACCTCTTCCATTTTTGCAACATTTTATTTGATCGGTTAAAATGACCCTGACTTCCCACAACTCAGACAGAGAGAGTTTCCAAGATTCTGAGCCCTGTGTTACCTGGATTTCACCCCCAGTGAGCATGTCCCAGGAGCCATAGTGACCCTTCTCCTGTCGGAAGAACTGCACAGCTTCCAGAAAGGCTTGGGCTTCAAATGTCGTCTGCTTCTTGTAATCTAAAGGCAAAAGGAAGGGGCATTTAGCAAAGTAAAACATTCCGTTTCACATTTTCCCAAGGTTCTTCAACTGCAATGTTTCAGACACCTGGTATTACCTACCTGAGTATCACAAGGCATGGGGTGATGAGGCACAGAGAACGTTAAGCGAGGCCTGAATTCCATGTTCTTTTGCAGGTGTGCACCTTATTACCGGTTTGCCACCCTAGCTGATTAATCTGCCACTTACTGAGCATACTGGTCGGGACTAGAAGCAGGTCCACCTCCTTCCTTTCTTTAGGAATCCTTCCCTCCCTAGCCCCAACACCGGTGACTTTCTGGTCCCAAGTCCAGCGCCTCACAAAGGCAAACTGCCCCTTAACAGCACCTTGTGTGTTCAAAGTGTCACCACCCCGTTTCTCAGACAAAACCCTAATTTCTTTGCGACTTGTATCAGCTTTCTATCGAAAGGACATCAATGTAATATGCAAACGTATGTGAATGAAAGCCAACAGTCACAAACACTCATGGCAGGACACTGTTCATCTACTGGAGCTGTCTCTGTGCCACATTGGAAGAGGAGTTATCTTGGGCCCCACATTATACACAAACACTAAAGAAAGCTGATGAGCAGGAAGAAAAAAGGTCTGTCCATAATTTTCATTGTATCTGCCAAAACAGGTAAGCAAAAAAGTTCCCCTCTGACCGGCATGTGGCAGGCTGCAGGCTGCAGGCTGCACGCCCCTACTTGCCTTTACCTAGTTCATTGAAACCTCACGACACCTTCGGAGGGGGGTATTATCATCATCCCCATTTTGCAGATGAGGAGAGGAAGCCCAGAAAGATGAACGAATTGTCACAGAGCTAGTGAATGGCAGAGCCAGGATGTGAATTTAGGAATTCGGACTTCAGAGCCTGCTGCTAACCACTACACGTTACACCACCTCAGACTAGTTTTACGGGCTTATGCTTCCAAACACACTGGATTTTAAAAGGTGTCACATCTGAGAGGTAATATCTTGGCAAGGAATGAAAATCTACTGGTGGGATTTCAGGGGTTGGGGCTAAATGGCCTTCTCAGAATCCCACGTATCACACGATGCATGCTCTGTCTTCATTTCTAACACACAAATTAGCTCTTGGAAGACACAGTGGTAACAGAATTATATAAATCTTAGAGGGGAAATGAACTGTAGAAATAATCTAATCAAGCAATAGAGAAATCGAGGGGAAATAAAGTGGGCAAAGTCAAGTGAGTGAAGGGCCAAGTGTCCTGCCCCTCCCTCCGTCGGGCACGCAGCTCTCTGAAGGACAGCACAGAAACTGCCTTTAGAGAGCAATGTTAGATCAGTCCTTGACAACAGCTGATTCTCAGGGGCCTGGTGCAGGGAGGCGCCACCATCACAGCTTTAGGCGGCAGGACTCTTTCAGTCAAGGACTAAATGAGAGTACTCGGCAGAATTAAAAGATCAATCTGCTCTGAAAGATGACAATTAACAGATTGTGGATGACTCGAGATTGGCTGACTAGTTCATTAGCCTTAAGAACTTGGAAAACAGAAAATACAATTCAAGGCATAGCTTCTATACTTTGAAAATACAATTCAAGGTATAGCGTCTTGAGTTTAAGCACAATTCTTCACAGTGAGGATCCGATGAAGCCCGGAATCTCCACTGTCAAAAAATGTAGAAGGAAAACTGACATTTCTTAATACCCGTGAAGAGAGCTGGTCAGAATCTAAATCAGAAAAAGGGCACACCCCAAGAATCAAGTTTTTAAATTGAAGTATTTTTCCCTTGTTATTTTTCTTGGCTTGGCAACTGATTTAATGTTTAATGTTAGAGGTTTGGAAAACAAAAATTAAGGTCTTGCTATAAAATTGACAACACCATCGGTAGTGTTCTCCCCACAAGGGGATTGTGATATGGGGCTCAGTGAACTGGGACAACTTTACCAACTGAGATGAAAACTATAATTACGACATTGGGATTCGAGACTGACTCATGTGCTCTTATTTTTAACAGCTGTTTTTATTTCCATCCTAAGAAGACAAAGAGACGGAAAAAAATATGGTACTTCATTTAGATGGAGTTGAGTATGGCCAGACCCTCAAGCCAGGGACTCAAGTTTTAAATTCTTCATGTCCTTACAAGAAACATACATTTATTTATTTCTTCTCCCTACCAACCTCAGAAGAAAGTGTTTGAAATTCTCTCATTACCTTATGTATCTCTGTCAAAGCAAATGATGACATTCCCACAGACAAATGCATTTTCAAAGATTTTTGACAAAAAATAAAAAAACAACTGAAGAAATGAGACTTGGAGACGATGTAAGCATCAAAGAGAAATCAAAGAAGAAATAAGGGAGGGTAGAAGAGAATCATAGTAGAAGTGAGACGCCTTAATATAAGCAGAGAAAAAAAGTATTAGTGATCAAACCACAAAAGAAATTATAGTCATTGAACAACAAAGCCTCAGAAAGTAAGAGCATAGATCTGAATTTGGGATTTTTTACCATTAAAAAAACGCTTTAAGTTGATTTTAACTACTCCCTTTCCATAGGGGAAAAGGATCTAATCTAAAATTTGATCAGTTTATAAACTGATCAAATAAATTAGCTTTATACACTGTTTTTAGAACAGATTTGCCACATGTAAGCTGTTCTATGAATATTTGTTCTTAACTGAAGCTTAATAGCAACTGCCAGATCGTTAAGCAAATAAAGAACAAAGGTTTGCTTTGTGAAAGAGAGAGCTAGACTGCGATGGTAACACGATCTTCATTTCTTCCACGTCGTTTGCAAAGGTGTTGCTGAACTGAGCCAGAGTGGACAGGTGTCTGAGGCGATTCAGATTATCGTGTACTGGATCAACTTCCTGCCACAGATCTCATGGGAACAAATCCCAGGTTCACAATCACCAGCTCTCCTGCCAGCGGGCAGATTGAGTTTAGTTCAGTGGCCCCCAGAATAACAATACTTTTCAGTTTTTAAGCCTTCTCCTTACTAGCAGATTAAAAAAAAAAAAAAAGGCAGGTATCAGCGCCAACTCTGTTTCCAGTGTGTTTTAATCCTGAGGATGGTTGAGAAGACTGGTGTGCTGGGAAGCAACTTAGACATCAGTAGATTCAGTTCCCACATTCCATGGTTGAGGAAACCAGAGCAAGAAATGGTTAATTTCTTAGCTGAAGGTCACAGCTGGTCAGTATCAGAGCCAAGAGTTGAAAGTTTGGGTCTGGCGCGTCATAAGCAGCCTTGGCATTCGTGCTTACTTAAATCATAGACTATGAGACTTGTAAGTGATCTTAAAGGTCACCTATCCAAAGTTCTAGTTCAAGGTTGGGACCCTTTAGAATCCCAGGGAAACATTTGTTCAGCCCTGGCTTGAATATTTCCAGTGACAGGAAGCTCACAATTTAATGAAATAGTTCTTTCCGTCACTGAACTGCTCTAAATTTTCCTTCCAGCGAGCCAAAATCTGTTTCCACGAACTCTCTCTCTCATTAATCTCATTTCTCCCTTTCAGAGCAAACTAGACAAGTTTACTCCTTTTCCATATGGTAACTCTAAAAAAACAGCAATCAGCAGAATATCCTTCTTTTCCTTCAGCCATTCTTTAAACAAACTTATCTTTTGGATCTTCTAAATTTGGCTCTCCCCTCTCCTTCCTTCCATCAGCGATCCATTCTGATTTATCAATATCTTTCATAAACTTGGCCCCTACAACTGAATACCATATGCTGGGTATTGTCTGACTAGTGTAAATTACATAAAGCAGAAAGACGCTTTCCTTCTTCTGATCTCTAACCTGTTTTTTAATAGAACCACACCACACTGTCAGTGCCTATCTTGCTTGTCATCAAATAAAGTCCCTGTAAACTTTGTCATATAAACTCTGGCTAATCGAAGCCTCTCCTAATCTGCTCTTCAGCTTTTGACTTTAACAGTCTGCCTGTTAAATTACAGCTTACTGTCATCAGCCCAGCGTCCCAAAGCCTGCCAAAGTCATTTTAAAATTGTAATTCTGTCCCCCACTCCCTTTCACCTCAGTATCATTTGAAAATTTGGTAAGTTTGCCTTCTGTGTTTCAGGCCGAACCCTTGATTAAAACGTTCAGGGGTGAGGAAGGAGCCCCGGGGAACTCGAAGCATTTTAGGAGACATGTGAGAGACACATCTTGGCCATTTGTTCAACAATCACATTCTCCGGAGCAAGAAATGTCTAGGAAAACACTGTTCTCTTTAGTCTCTCCCGATTTCCTCATCCGTGCAGCTGCATGGAAAACTCATATTCAGGAGACATAATTAAGGATTTTGCAAGGGAAGGAAAAATTCTCTAGGCCCCTTGGGGACAGTTTTTCAGGGGGCAAGCCAGAAAGAAATCGCTTTTGTTTTTTTCCACTTACACAGATTTATAACAAATCTGAGTCAGCTGAGACACTGAAGCTCCAAGTCCCATGGAGTCATTCGAAGATTCTGACGCTGGCTGCTGGGTCCCCACGACTCCCTGACTCAGGCCGGGTTTGGAGGACGCTTTATTTTTTTATTTCATCGGTAAACTTCGCCAAGCCCTGTTAACTGATCTGCCTGGGGATTAAGTTATGTAACAGCATTACTCGCTACGCTGCTGTGGGGCTCATCGTGCTGTCTCTAGCTTCAGTCCGAGGGAACCTTTTCCAGCACAGCTGCAGGGAGCCTGTTTGCTTGTTTCTTTCTTTCTTTTTTTTTTTTTTTTTGCAGTTTTTGACCAGGGCTGGGTTTGAACCCGCTACCTCTGGCATATGGGGCCGGCACCCTACTCCTTTGAGCCACAGGCACTGCCCTGTTTGCTTGTTTCTTTTCGAACGAGGAGAAGGGGCACAGAGGAAGGTAGCTGACATTTCCTGAGTCCCCACCATGGAGTATGTGACCTTGTGAGATGTCTAACACACTGTGTCTTATAATCTTGGCAACATCAAGCAGGAGGAGTTAATATGCCCGCTTTACAGAGGACAAGAAAAGTGAATTTCAGGGAGGTTAGATAGCTTCTTGAAGCTAGTGTGTGGTCAAGCAAGGCCCACACCTCCGAAGTCCAGTTTTAATGCTCTAATGTTTTAAAGCTTTTTATTTTGAGACAGTTTTAGATTCACAAACTATTGTTAAAAAATATAGAGATCCCATATACCCTTCTGTAACACTATAGTACAGAATCACAACCATGAACCTGACATTGATGTGGTCCAACCTTCACACTCAGATTTCACCAGTTTTACAGGCACTTCTGCATGTGATTTAATTTTAAAGTTATTTTAAATGAGACTTTCCTCCTCATTAGAATCACGTAATTCCTATGATCCTAATCTTGATCATAGATTAGGGATCATCTCGTCCAAACTCCTCATTTTGTAAGTGAACAGACTGAGGGCCAGACAGAATGTGACAGGACATTACTAAAAATAAAAGAAAGTCCCCTCACTGGAATTAATAGTGAATGGTACCTATCCAAAAGAAGAGGTAGGGCGGGGCCTGTGGCTCAAAGGAGTAGTGCGCCAGCCCCATATGCCGGAGGTGGTGGGTTCAAACCCAGCCCCAGCCAAAAAAAAACTGCAAAGTTTAATTTTTATTTAAAAATATATTTATACATGACCAACCTAACCAAATACTTATTACTATATTACAAATGATAACTCTTATGGGAACTAGCCCCAGGTACTTAGAAGAAACTGGCAAATTATCAGAGGTCCCTGGACTATGGTTTGTAAACTGTTATACTAAAATATTAATCTACTGATCAAATCATGTTATGTTAGTGAACACAGACCTCAGACCTACCAGGAAAAGAGGAGAAATACACTTCCCCCCAAATGAAAATGTACATGTACTGCATGGAGATCCAGAGACCCACGGAGGAGCTGCCGTGGTGTTGCTCGGGTTGAAAATACAGATAACTAACTCACAGGCTAGAACACACTACTCAAACAAATAGAAGAAATGTGTTTCTAATGAAGACATTGTTTTAAGATACATTTTTTTTTTTTTGGACAAGAAGTAGGATTTATTATTGGTAGGCGCAATTGATAGGCAACAATGTTAAGTCCTCACGAGTGCAGGGCCCGCCACTTGTCCAGGGGGCCACGATTGGGGATGTATTTGACCCCACAACCATCTGGGATGAGCTGCTTCTCAGCCACCATGTCTTCAAATTCATCTGAGTTAAACTTGGTACAACCCCATTTCTTGGAGATGTGAATCTTCCGACGGCCAGGAAACTTGAACTTGGCCCTGCGAAAGGCCTCAATCACATGCTCCTTGTTCTGTAGTTTGGTGCAGATGGGCATGATGACTTGGCCAACGTGAACCCTGGCCACAGTGCCCTGGGGCTTTCCAAAGGCACCACGCATACCTGTCTGGAGCCTAGATTGGGGACAGCACAAGGTCTAACACATGAACATGTACTGGAAAGGAATGTCTCCAAGGTCCCTCAGAGCAACCTATACAAGCAACAGGCTGCATACACTACCCAGGAGGCTGCTATCTGCAGCCACTGCACACCAGTTGAGACAAATTTTTAACCACACAGAAAAATACTTTGTGCCTCTCCAACTAAAAGCAGTGAAGCTCATGAATTCTTGACTTGTTAGTGAATATTAAAAAAAGATTGTCAACAGAGGAAAGGAAGTGGTGATTTGTAGAATGGGTGGAGACAGACTAACCTCGTTTCCTTCTGATAGATATGATAGATCGGCAGATTAGAAGGCTGCTGGAGACACCCCACGTCTAGATTTTAGCAAGGCAATTATTAAATCACATCTTGCATGATTTTCATTGACACACCGGAGAACTTTACACTGGCTGATAATGCAAATAAACTATCAGATAGTTAACCAATCTAATTGATTAGTGCTGGTTAAAGGACTGAGGTTATTGATATCACAAAGGAAATCGCTAGGGTCCTGCCCTCGAAAAATTTTCAATTACTTGGAAAAGAATGCGTGTGCATATGTGTATGTCTATATCCTGTATATATAAAATAGTCATTAAATTTTATTTATGTACTATATGCCGAGCTCTATAGGCCCTGAGGATACAAAGCTGAAAAAAAATATGGCTTTTAACTCCAAGTTCCTAACAGTCTAGTGGATATAGGAATCAGGATCCAAAATGAAATATAATGTGGATAAATGAATCTAGCACATAAGATCAAAAATACAGCCACAGAAGTTCACCACGTGTGTCTGATACGTAGTAGGTATGCAAAAAAGGACTGGTAAACAGACTGAATTAATAAAGGGACCCCCCCAAATCAAAACCCTGGGGTTTCACTTAACCATGAGCTCAGTGCGAGTGAGTCAGCGCGTGACACAGTTGTCCACAAAGCAGGTACGTTGGGGGCTCAGAAGTGTGGAGTATAACAGGACAAGGATGGTCATTTGTGGACTCCGAGCTACGCTCCTCGGAGCTTACCATGCCATCCCTGCAGCTCGTGGTGAGCACCAGAATATTTACAGACATTTTTAAAATAAAGGAAAAAAGGGAAGTGCTTCCAAAGAAGGTCAAGTGAATGCTGCATCCCACAGCCTTGGAAAGAAAAAAAAACCTAGAAAGCAGAGATTTTTATCTATTGTGAAGGTCTGGGACATAAAAAGGACTTGATTTGTTTCATGTGGATTCAGACACGACAGCCAGGATTGTGCAAACTAGAGTGTGGAAGACTTTTACTATAAGGAAAACATTTCTAACATTGAGGCCCATCTTAGAATGGAGCAGGCTCCTGCAGGATGTCAAAAGTTCTGCTTGAGAGGAAGTGCTCCATCAGGACTCACTGCCTTGTGGAAGATGTTGCTCAAATCCCTCTATCACGTACCCGCAGGGCACCACATGCCTGCCTACCACAGCACTTATGACAATTATAATTTTACATTCTTAGCATAATCATGGGAGATACATCTTCCCCCTAGACTGTAAGCTCCAAGTGGACAGGAGGCTGCTATTTGTATTTGCCATGGCGGCCCCAGCCCCTAGTACACGGCACTTATTAAATATTACAGGAAGGAGAGAAAGGAGGGAGGGAGAGAGGGAAAAGAAAGGGATTAAAACTCTAGAGTAGGCTCGGTGTCTGTGGCTCAAGCGGCTAAGGTGCCAGCCACATACACCTGAGGTGGCGGGTTCAAATCCCCAGCCCGGGCCCGCCAAACAACAATGATGGCTGCAACCAAAAAAAA